GGGTGTATCAATTTTGAGTAAGTTAGCGTCCTTTAATTTCGAAATATTGAAATTTCAAGCATTTCTGAAATTTATTGTTATATGAAAAGCGGGCGTAATTTTAGGCCGATTTCAATAATTTTCAACACTTTGCTTTTATGTAGCAAGCACAATAACCATACCGAGTTTGGGACAAATTGGGAGAACGGTTACCGAGATACATATATGTGATCATAAGAGTGGGCGGTGCCACGCCCATTTTGAAAAATTTTCTCATAAACCTATTTCTTCGTAAAGAATTGTTGCAAGCGTCAATTTTGAATAAATTAGCTTTAATTTTTACTGATTTATCGAAGATTTTGTATTTCTCTAAATTACCGTTATATGAGATGTGGGCGTGGTCATTGTCTGATTTTAAAAATTTTCGGCCATTTGGTATGCTGTACCAGGGCCAACAACTGTGCCAAGTTTGGAATAAATTGATGCAGCGGTTACCACATGTAATACACATGTAACCATAAGTGGGCGTGGCTACGTCAATTTTTCAAAAACTTATAATATTCGTATTTCTCGTCTAAAAATTATTATAAATATCAATTTTGAGTGAATAATCTTCAGTAGTTACTAAAATATCGCAGTTTTAGTATTTCTGAAAATTACCGTTATATGGGAGGTAGGCGTGGTTATTGTCCGATTTTGCCCATTTTCAATACAATCCGTCCTACGCCCGAAAGAAGTTCACGTACCAAGTTTCGTTAAGATATCTTAATTTTTCTCAAGTTATCGTGTGCACAGACGGACGGGCGGACGGACAGACATTCACCGCTTAATCGATTTCTCTTTTCATCCTGATCATTTATGTATACATTTGTCTATATCTATCTCGATTTGTTTTGCCTGTTACAAACAACCGTTATATTAACAAAGTTATAATACCCTTGTGCACAAGTGCGCTCAGGTATAAAAACTAAAAACACGCTTTTATTACAACAATAACGAAAAAGAAAAATATTTTATAGATATAGCGATTCCGTTTAAGAAGAATAGGAAGTTCCCTGACTTTATTTAATTTAACTTTTTTAAATTAGCTAAAAATAGGATTAAAGTGATGGCCCGTAGTCATAGTCAAAATAAAGTCCACTGTAAAGTTAGTTCCAGCATATTGACATAATTTTCAATGCTATATCTGTAAAAAATTGCAACAAACTTTACAGTGGACTTTATTTTGACTATGACTACGGGCCAATCAGCCTGAGCTAAGTTTGAAGTTTCAAGTCTGTAGCTCATCGGGGAGTTTGTTAAATATTGACTGCAAAGTTCCAGGACATACAAAGATACGTACATACATACAAGTGAAGTTAAATAAAAGCTTGTAAAAACGGTCGGCTGTAACAACAGCCAAAGCGCCTTGCAACCGCACGGTGCAACAAAAACAACTGGCGGCAACCACAACACTCCGACCACAACAACAAAAACGGCTGCCCCAGTAGCAGCGCAATACCAGCAACGATCAGAACAACAATAGCAGTGCCCCACCAAGGTCTGCTGCAACACAAGGGTGAGTCCTTCGGTCCTGTACACATCAAGGCACATCAAACAGGTAGTAGCAACAGGGTTGCAGTTTTGATTTTTTTCTATTTCGTGAAAATTTTGAACTGTCCTACTTTGCTACATTCATATACACATTCACACACACATACATTAGAATCCTTTTCCGTGCTTTTGATTGGTCCTTTCTGTTTAGACATTCTAGGTTTCTCAAGCAACAACAAAATACATGCCAGGGTTGCGTTTGCTCTACTGCTATTACCTATAATATTTATTTAAGACCTAATATATTTTATGGATTTATCTGTTCGGAATACGTTTATACTGAATGGTTATAAGTGCATCTAATTACCTGAGTAAGCAATTAGTGTTTAGGAGGGTTGTGTTATCTCACGCCCCAGTAATAATTGCTGTGGTTCTCGATGTTAGGAGGTTTGTTGACACCTTAATATATAATAAATAATATAAAAAAAACTTTTTAATATACAACGCTTTTATAAATGGACTAAAAAGTAGAAAATAATATTTCTCAGTCCCATAGAATTTGTTTTGATAACTTTTGATTTTGAAATTTTAGCAAAAGTCATTATAAACAATCTATGAAATTGAAAATGAAAAACGTGGAGCGCATGCAATACAAAGCATTCGATTTAATTGACAATAGTCAAACTACATAACGTAGACCTAAAATTTCTACAGCGAAAGTAGAACTTTGAAATCGATTTTAAGCGGTCGTTATTCATATACCCACATACACACATACATATATTACTTTTCATATCAATTCAAGTGTATTACATGCGCCCCACGCTTTTCATTTTCATATTTCATACCGCTAGGTGCAGGGGACGTGGCACCTCCCATACAAACCGAATTTTTCAAATTGCATATCTCTGGAAGTGTGCATGGTAGACTACTCGAATATGGTATGGAGATATATGAAAACAATTGCATACTCATGGAGAGAAATTGCGGTTATTGGAAAAACATACATACAAACCGAATTTTTCATACTGCATATCCCGGGAAATTTTCATGGAGGAGGTCTCGAACATGGTATGGAGATAAATTGTGATTATCGGAAAACGAGGCGTGGCACGTCTCATACACATCGAATTTTTCATACTGCATATCTCCGGATGTGTTCATGGAAGAGTACTGGAACTTGGTATGTACAAGATATATAAAATTAGTCTCGTGGTCATGAAGAAAAGGCTATTGGAAAAAGGGGCGTGGCACCTCCCATGCTAGATTACTCGAAAATGGTATGGATATATGAGAAATCAATCCCATACTCTTAGAAAAAATTGGGGTTATTTGAAAAGGGGATGGATCGCCTTTCAAACGCACTGAAACTATTACGTATCTTTGTATGCATGTTTGCATGTTGCATGTTGCATGTTTGCAAGTATGCATGTTGTATTAGGGTGGCTCTTATTTGTCAAGTATAATTTTTTGTTTGTGCTACCCCTCCATTTAGTTCCTTTATAAAAAAAAATTAGCTGAGCGAAATTTTAAGTTAATCCGATAAGTGTAAAGTGTGCCCCTCGGCCCTCAAAATGCGAAATTCGCTTTTGTATTACTATTTTCAAATAACGGCGGTAATTCACATGTTCATGGCTATTCCCTTTTCTTTTTCAAGAGTAAATTGCAATTTTCTTGAGAAATAAATTTTATATTGACCTTTGCAAAAAAAATATCAGTCGCCCATATCATTTGAAGTGAACAACGTGGCACAATGTCACCACCTATACTACGAGAGAAAGTTTATTTGCTCGGGCATTACTCGAATTAAATTGTTGGAAACAAACTTCCATCGGTGAAACAAGCGTTAAAGGTTTTCTTTTTCAATTTGCGGGAGTGTAAGTTAACCATAAGGGGAAGTGCCTCACTAGTTGTGCGGGAAGTGATGATATATTGGGAAAAAGCACGAATTCCGACGCAAGATTTAAGGAACTGTATACCAAAGTTGGAAGCTCTGTATCAACAATGGAGGCAACTTCAAAAACATGATGGTAGATCGTCGGATGTTCATAAGAAAAAAGAAGCAGATTTCGTAGACAAACTTGAGGATCTTTTTGACATAGCGCACGCCAATGCTTTGAGTATCATTACGATTGAAGAAGACAAGCAGTTCTTAATTAATCAGCGGTTGAGAGGGCGGCCAGGGTTAATGTATGGAATTGATTACCAGCTAATTGCGAAAGAGGGACGACTTTCTGAACGAAAAATACGAGAGGTGAAGAAGAAGGAGCGAAGCGATCATGAAATGCAACAACTGAGTAAGTATCTAAGTATTTATATGTATGTATGTTGATATTATTAATGGTTTTCATGTTTTTTAGCTCAACCTGCTATACTCATGACGTCGAGTTCAAGCAGTAGTGAAGATCTAGACTTGTGTGATTTGGAGCAGGTTCCACGAGTCTCAAACGATGTATCACCACCAGCAAAAAAGAAAAGAGGGCGCCAAACAATAATTACACCAAAGCTTGCGGCTGCCTTGGATAAGTGCAAGATCAGTGACAGGAATGCGGTTCATATCCTGATAGCTCCTATAGAAGCGCTTGGTCACGATGTTGATAATTTCGCAGTCAACAGGTCCTCGATTCACAATTTTCGAGAGAAACTCCGCGAACAAAAGGCTACCGAAATCAAAAAAATTTTCAAGGATAGAAAACTGAACGCTGTTACCTTGCATTGGGATGGTAAATTACTTCCAGCATTAACGGGTAAGGAGAAAGTAGATCGACTTCCTGTGATTCTCTCAAATTGTGGTACTGATCAACTTCTTGGTGTACCTGCATTGCAATCGGGGAGTGGTAAAGAACAGGCAACATCTGTTTGTGAAACGCTTGCGGAATGGGGCCTTCAGGATTACGTGAAAGCATTAGTTTTTGACACAACAGCATCAAATACTGGCAGTTTTAAAGGTGCGTGTGTTTTGATCGAAAGCTTTCTAGAAAAAGACCTTTTGTATTTACCCTGTCGGCATCACATTTACGAAATCATGTTAAAAACCGTTTTCGAGGAAAAGATGGGGAAAACTACAGGTCCAACTGTACCAATCTTAAAAAAGTTCCAAAATGCTTTGAATGGAATTAATGTTAATAATTTTAAGCCCGGAGTCGAGCATGCAAAGGTCAAGAAACATTTGGAGACGGTCGACGTATCCCGAGTTCTTGATTTTGTACGAGACGCTTTGCAAAAACAACATCCCAGAGAGGATTATAGAGAATTTTTAGAACTGACTTCTATTTTTCTTGGCAAAACACCATCCCGTGGAGTGTCCTTCCGTGCCCCAGGGGCTACCCATCATGCAAGGTGGATGGCAAAGGCGATTTATTGCTTGAAAATATTCATGTTTCGCGATGAATTTAAATTATCACCGCATGAAGAAAATGCTATTTGTGATATTTGCATTTTCCTAACCAGTATATATGTAGAAGCGTGGGTTTGTGCTCCTTCTGCAGCCAAAGCACCATATTTGGATTTCACTGTTCTTTCACAACTTTATAAATATCAGGTTGTTGATCGTGAAATCTCTCGTGTGGCTTTACAAAAACTTAAAAATCATTTGTGGTATCTATCCCCTGAATTCATCGCCTTGGCGTTCTTTGACTCTAATTTGCCATCGGAATTAAAAATGAAAATGGTCAAAGCATTAAATCGTGAAACAGATGAATTAGAAGAAAATGTTAAAAGGATTAAAGTGGAAATAAATCAAATCCCAGAAATAATAAACAATGGAATCGAACAATTTGTTTCGAATAAAACAAGGAAATTTTTCACTAGATTCGATTTAAGTGACGAGTTCCTTAATACAGATCCTTCGCAGTGGCATAAGAATGAAGATTTCGTCAAAGCTCTAAGCCTGGTTGAGAAATTGAAGGTTGTGAACGATCCGGCGGAGAGAGGCGTGAAACTAATGGAGGACTACAATAACTTATTTACAAAAAACGAGCAACAGAAGCAGTATGTGCTTCAGGTTGTAAGTGAGTACCGACAAAAATTTCCAGATAGCAGAAAACAAACTTTATCGAAAAATAAAGAGTTCTAAGTTATCATGACATTTTCTTTGTGAATTATTAACTCATATTTATTTCAAACTTCTTTGCCATTATTCTGTAAACTGAATTGAATTGAAGTAATAAATAGTCTTATAGAATTATATAAACTAAATACAATATGGATATTAATTAATTGATTGTTTATTATAGTTTATTAATTAAATACAATTTATATATAGTTTAATATAATTAACCAGACATTTTTTTTTACTAATTACTCTATAAAAATTTTCGGAAAAATAAAATACTTGAATTAGCTTTGTATATGATTTTTGGTGTGTTTTGCAATTTTAAGGGCCTAAGGGCACACCTTACCCTTATCCAATTGACACCAAATTCCACAGAGTTCTTTTTTTTATAGAATGGAACCAAACTAAAGCCTTCGAAAAATTATAAAAAAAATTAAAAAGTTGTATATAACAGCCACCCTAATGTTGTATGCTTGGTTATTTAACACGGCAATGGAAATATGCCTTCTGACAACAACCAATCCGTAATATTAGAAGATAAATGCATCACTGAAAATCATGAACGTGAACTGTTGGTGAAAATGTTGGACTAAAATATTTCAATACAAACAATTTATTTTGGGCGGGACGAATTTTCCGGGTCTGCTAGTAGATATATATGCTGTTTAGACATTACAGTCTAACCTAGCTGGCGGTGCCAGTGGTTTTTTTAAGATAAAAATAATAGTATTGTTAAAACTCAATTAAAGAACTATTTGCGCATACAGGCAATATACCAACATACTTACCTAACATAGGACTACACTTGTGATTTGAAATTCGATATAACTAAAATTATAGTGAAGTGGTAGTACATTATATAAGGATATTTAAAGGATGCCCATAGGCATTGCTATAAAAATTTTGGTGAATGTAAATGAGGAAATTTTGAAAATATAAAAACGAAACATTCGAAATTAGATCAAGAATGGAAATAAATAAATAACATAACATCAAAATCTAGGATAAAACCAAAGTGAATAAATTTATTTGCAAGAAAGCGAATTTAAATAAAATTCGAATGATATAAATGTATAATATAGCAACATAAATTTCGAATAAATAAATAAACACAAGTTTTAATATAAGAGTAAAAATTTGTGAAGTAGGCCAAGGTCGAGCTTTTTTGTGTAATTATCGGTTTGCGCTTCACACGATAAAAGAAAAATGCATGTTTCACAATGTTCCGAAATTCGAATTATTTTGCAAGTTATAGCTATTAACATTTTTCGAAATTGTTTAGATTTTAACTGTTTTCTCGCGATTGGTAATACCGATTCTGCTCATATTTTAAATAGTTGAGAATGAGGGTGTTTTCTTCCCATTTTTATTTTTTATTTGGCCATACATTTTTTTATATAAAAGTTATTTATTTTTTTTAATATTACTGAAATCTCAATGGTCAAGAATAAAAATGGGAATAAAACACCATAATTCTCAACTTTTTAAAATATGAACAGAATCGGTATTACCAATCGCGAGAAAACAATTAAAATCTAAACAATTTCGAAAAATGTTAGTAGTTATAACTTCCACAATAATTCGAATTTCGGACAATTGTGAATTTTGTATTTTGCTTTTATCGCTGTAAAGCATAAACAGATAATTGCACAAAAAAAGCTCGACCTTCAAAAAAGTGTTGGCCCACTTCACAAATTTGTACGCATAATTTTTACTTATAAAAGTAAAACAAAATAAAATAAGAATTAATGGAAGTTTAAACAAAATAATTTGAAATAAATAACGACTTATAAATCCTATAATAAAAAAATTGCTACAATTTCATAAAATAAAATAAAAATAAATAAATATTTATATAGGATTAGGATAATATAGCAAAAAAAACAATTACATTTAGCTACAAAACAAAATAAAGAAACAAATAATATTTTAATAATAAATTTTTCAATATATCCGTACACTAGGGATTAGTCTTACCTTGATACTCATACTTACCCCGATTGGAATACTTAGCTGATCCCACTTGTTTCTCCAAAATAAACTTACCGGAATTACCTTAATTGTACACATTATTTAGTCGCCTACTTATATTTACCATAGGATTAACCCACATAATCACTTACCTTAGACTTATGAAAACACTTACCTTAGTTTTTATTATCTTAGAGTTATGAACCCGATTTGGATGACAGGGTTAAGAACTTTTAGCTTCTAGGGAGTAGATGTAAGAAATGAATTTTTGTCAATAAATTTATAATTAGAATGGGAATGTTGACACTTTCATTTATTTAGGAAGGCATGTAGGACTTTTAATGATGGGGCTATCGATACTAGGGTGCGCTGATAGCTACGGTTGAGGGGGGGTCACCACCAAGAACCACAATACTAGCGGTGGTGCCTTATATTTGGCCTTATTTTTAGTTTTATTTCAACTATTTAATTTTAACATTTATTTTTCTGATATTGCTTTTTTTATTTTTGTTGTGTGTCCGTCCGTCGAAGTGAACAGCGGCGAAGGCAAGAACCCAGCTCAGCCGACACGACTATCCACAGTGCTCCCCATTGTGTCATGCCGACTGCATTCACTGCTGCTCCCACAGTATGCGTACCATAACAGATTGCGCCCAACGGGGTAGCCTGAAGTCTGGTCAGGTTGACTGGTCCTGACCGGCACCTGAGGCTTCACCATCCCGCAAGTCCCAGAGGGGCTGTCCCTTGCTGCGTTGCGGCAGGATGAGTGGAGCCGATTGTGCTGGTTTGGGTTAGTCTTCTTGGTCAGTAACTGAAGGCTTCTACGAGACTTCACATCACGCCTTCCGGAGTTTTGTATTCACCCGGTGAGGCAGTGCTAAACGCACTTAGTTTTTTTGTACTTTGACTTTTTTTTCTCCGCTTTTATCCAGTGGTCCGATATGTCGGCATGGGAATTGAGCCTTAGTTTGAATAGTTTTTTTTTGCGGAATATTTTTTTTTGTTTTTTTTTTGCAACTTGTGTTTTTTTTTTGACAAAAAAATTGATAATAAATTTTCTTTTGGACCCACTCCTTAGGTCTGCGCTGGGGCTCCTGAGCGCCTTCGTATTGCAATGAAGTGGCTGGGACTCCAACCCGGCACTGACTATCGGGGTCTCAGTCACCCCACATGTCTCAGGGGAGCATGTGATAACTGCCCCTTGTACGAGAAGTCCGGTACACCCTTCAAGTCTGAAGGGGCATTCCAATATGTCGGATTTTCATTGCGGTTGGGTGTGCTGGACCAAATAGAGACAAGGGTTTTGTGTTTGTTTTGTACCTTTTTTTTTTCTTGCAGACCAGTGCCTTCCTGGTGTTAGGGGGGTCAGCATTCCCACTGAATTTTAATAAATACGTCACCGATAACCAGTTATAACCAACCGATCTTCTAAATACACGTATATGACCACGTATATTTAACTAACCAATTTTACATGCGTATTTACTAACGCTCTGATTTGATTATCTTTTTTTTACATTCGGTGCGTGTATTCATATTCAATACCCGGACTGAATTCAAGTTGATATTTTCGATTTCTTTTGTTGTCGCGATCGGTCACGCCACTTAGCTAAATCTCGTAATTTTTTTATTTGATTTGAAAACTTTCACAGACGTTCTTTTGGCTTAGACTGTTAGCAGCAAGCTTTAATTAACAAACAATTTCTCGGATTTCCCATTTCGTTTGATCTCTGGGGATCCAATCCTTAAGCACCTCTTGTAGACTTTTAATTTGGACTTGTCTTGACCTTAAGCGTCAAATTTTTTTGAATTTCCATTTGTAGTCGTATCGTTTTGAACACTCGCGTGATGGAACAGCAGCAAATGCTTACGCGCAGCGGCTCAATGAGAGGTAGCGGCGTTAAGTCAAGAGGGGCCGGGAGAAATAACACTCCCGAAATGCCAACAAATAATTATCCGGTGATGCATTCACCCATTGCTGACCATTCTGGAGAATTTCCGCCTCCAATTCCTCTGGCCAACCCCGCTCCAGGAGTGAAAGTTGATAGCCGTCAAGGCTCGAACTTACTTGACACCTCACCGGCTGGGACTTCGGTCCATAATATATCCGCTACCTCCATGACTATACTTTCGGGAAGACAAGACAATGATAGACGTCCTAATGTCGGAGCAAGCACTTGCAGGAGATTCGTGGGTGAGGGTGTTTCATCAGTTATTACGAACTTCGCAAAAAAAAATGAGAGCTGAAGTGAGAACAATGCGAGCAAATATGAGCGCATTAAGTGCAGTAGTAACTGCATCTCAAACCGCACCCTATGCCCCTCGGGACTTTGCTTCTATCGGACGCAACCCGACATAAGCCACTTTGAACAACCGACAAAATATCACCACCAATATTGTCATTAAGCCACAGGATTAGAAGGTACCCTATGACGGCCCTTGAACGCTAGGCTGAAAGAGCCGATGTCGGAGAACCTGTTGATGGACATATTAAGTTGATGCTTTTCAATGCTGGTGCGCAAACCCTACACTGAGGGAAAAATGGCAGCCTAAAAATAAAGACAAACTAACTCGATTTAAGTATATGGAGTCTAAATACTTCATTCTTGAAATAAGAATTTCGTACTCAAATCAAATATGATGCTTCTTTATTATGAGTACGAGTATTTTGTTTTAAGAAACATTATAAAGAAAAAGGTTGGGTTAGTTATCACAACCTTTCATACTTCGACTTAGAAAGTTAGACGTATGCATATGAAAAATATTTTCACAAAAGACGCGTGAACAAATTAGAAGCTTGGTACCGAACTGTTCAGGACGTCAGTGGGCAAAATCGAAATTTTCGTTGTCTGCAATGTGAAAGTGTTTGGTATTTTCATAAAGGTAATTTATTCACTATAAAGAATTAAGCATACATTTTCCTATTAAAGAAATTATATGCCGCCAGGAAGCCACTAAATTCGAAAAATTTTATAAATGTCAAAAATACATTACTTGAAATAAAATATTGGTTTGACGTTTCTTATTTCCATATAAACAGTAGAGAACTACAGCAATGAAAATTTTAAGAAGAAATAAGAACCTGCTAATTTTTTGTACCTTTTGAAGTAATGCGATTTTTGCTAATGCATAAAATCACTTCTTAATTTTTTGTCGGTGCCATCAGATCTGC